GGGCTGCGCCGTGGCCGCCTTCTTCATCACCGACGGGCGCTCGCGGCGCAAGGTGGTGGGCGGCGCGCGCAGCCTGCAGCGGCACACGTGCGGCGAGTGCGGCAAGACCTACGCCACCTCGTCCAACCTGAGCCGCCACAAGCAGACGCACCGCAGCCTGGACAGCAAGATGGCCAAGAAGTGCCCCACGTGCGGCAAGGTCTACGTCTCCATGCCCGCCATGGCCATGCACCTGCTCACGCACGACCTCAAGCACAAGTGCGACGTGTGCGGCAAGGCCTTCAGCCGGCCCTGGCTGCTGCAGGGCCACATGCGCTCGCACACGGGCGAGAAGCCCTTCGGCTGCTCGCACTGCGGCAAGGCCTTCGCCGACCGCTCCAACCTGCGCGCCCACATGCAGACGCACTCCGCCTTCAAGCACTACAAGTGCAAGCAGTGCGAGAAGACCTTCGCCCTCAAGTCGTACCTCAACAAGCACTACGAGTCCGCCTGCTTCAAGGGCTCCGAACACAGCTGTGCAATGGGCAACTAGCCCCCGCCGGCCCCCTGGGTGCCCGCAGCACCCGCACAGCCCCTGTGGCTGCAGGACATGTCCCTGTCCCCGCCACCGGCTCACCAGCACCCCAGATGGGGGCATCCCCATGTCTCCTTGGAGGGCTGGTGGCAAGAAGGGGCTGGCAACACCCCCCTGAACCTGGGAGAGATCCCCCTGCCCTTGACTCATCACCTTCCTCCCCTATTTATTTAATTTATTGCTATTATTTATTTAGAGTTGCTACATCTCCCCCCGGGAAGCACCGGGGGAGAAAGGACACTGGCCTGCTCCCTCCGGGAGCAAAACCTCACCCTGTTCATGCCACCGGGGGCTGCCGAGGGGACAAGGCACAGGGCCACCCTGCCTGCCCGTCCTGGGGGGGGCAGAGAGCGAAGCTGCTGGCTGGGAAGCCCCCAGCCCAGCTGGATCCTCCCGCCTGGCACCGCGGCCCCGTGCACATCAGCCCCGCACATGGCGCTGGTTCTGCTGCAACATTGGGGTGAGTTTATTTATTTCCTCTTATTTATACTATTTATGATTTAAACTTTTCACTATTTATTTGCAAGAGCGGCTTGGCCACGTGGCTACTCAGCAGCTCTTCTGCACGGCCCACGGGGCCCAGACGGACCCACCATGACTGTGGCTCAGGGACGGGGACGCGGAGAGATGGAGGCGTCAGGACACCAGGGCGGCCACCCCAGCCCTGCACTCGAGACGAGGCCGAGCTGCTCTCCCTCGTCCTCCCCTGCGCCCGGGAGCACCCGGCGCCTCTATGCAACCTCCCAGCGGAGAGTGTCCTGCACCCACAGGGCTGGCGCCTTCTGCTACCTTGGCCGGCAAGATGCTGCAGTGCCCATTGCTCTGGGCTGCACGTGTGGACCGCAACGCACCGTCTTCCTCCCTGCAGCCTTCCTCCCTGCAGTCTTCCTCCCCACCTCGCCATGCCCTGCTGCGTCTGCGGGCTCTCATGCGGCTCAACTCTTCCTATCGGCTCCGGACCGTGATGCTCCCTGGCTCCCGCGGGGAGCCGCAGGGAAGAGCATCGCCCCAGTGCACTCCCTGCGCGCAGTGTGACGGCCCGGAGCGCTCCAGCGCCTTGACTGGGCGCATCCCTGCACCGCGGGGCCGCACACACCCTGTTCTTCCTGTAAATAGCAGATCCTACAGCAATAATTTTCCATGCATGATTGATCTTTTTCTGCCAGGATTTTGTATTTGACGGATGGCAGCGAGACCAGGCTGCCACAAAGCCACCTGCAGTATTACTTGTAATGCAATTCAGGGATATAAAAGGGACTTCTGCCACTAAGACACCTGTCTCGAGAGGTCTGTGCCTGCGACAACAGGCGGATGCGCACGCGCTGGGTGGATGGGGAAAATATGGGGCAAGAGGAGGCAGTCGGCAGTGACCCCATCTCATTCGCAAGCCCTTTGCTCACCCCTGCTCCCAGACTGTTTGTCACTATCACCACCACCACGCGGGGACATCCCGGCAGGTGACAGTTCCCCTGCCAGCTCATCACCTGATTCATTCTGCAACACCGCAGGGCCTCGCAACCCCCTTCCCAAGGCCACCGTCACCCCAGCTCCCACAAAGGGCAGGTGAGTCACCGATGCCTTCGGTGCGATGCTCTTCGCCTGCAAGGACACTGAGCTCTGCGCCAGGGCTGGAGCTGGCGCCAGCGGGCACAGACAGGACTCCTGCTGCCAGCAGTCCCCAAGCAGCCCCCGCCGGGTCCCTCCATGGGCTGGGGAGCAGCAGAAAGTTTTGGGGCTGTCTCAGAGGTGCAAAATCCCGCAGGTGACCCGGGTGCGGTAGCTGGGTGCAAGCAGGATCCCTGCTTCCTCCCCAGAGTCTCTTCACCTTTTGGGATGGCTTTGCAGGGAAACCACGCAAAAATGCTGGCGGATGGAGCACACCGCGGTC